TTAATATTTGTCTGAAAGGATCATCCTCTCTTCTGTGCAAGTCTAATATGTTTCTTTATGTGCAATTCTGTGACACTCTGCCCTGTGTTGTCTGGAAGCTCTTAGCAGTTTTGTGGGTTTTTTTTCTGTTCCACAAAGTAGATATTCCAGAATAAGTGCCAGCATGATTTTGTAAAAATCTTAGCAGTCCGGGAGTTTGTTTTTCGTTGGATGTTTATGTTTGCTCTGCTGTGCACTGATGTGCAAACATAAGCAGCCTGATGTTTGCACAGCAAGGCAAACACAGTAAGGCATCGCTAAGGGCTTGAAATTGGTGCTGATGGAGTGAGTGGCCACCCATCAACCTGTCCCAGTGGGTAGTTCCCGAGTCTGCCAGAGAGGAAAAGTGTGAGTTTGGTAGATTGATGTCAGAGAATATGGGATTTCTTAGCTAACTGGAGGATCACTTGCAAAAGATGGCAGAGCTTTAAGACAGTGATAAATTCAAGAGAGAATGAGACAGAATTCACCTCTGCTATGTCCTGATACTTAAGTAGGTTTAGTTATTTCAGATTTTCTCTGTCACCTTGGGATTTTTTAGTAGCTGTACTGCAACTTTCTGTTCTGTCTCTGTTTCTTGTAATTGTTATTTTTTTCCCAGGATTTTGGTTTTGTTTTAAGTAATGTGTTACTTTCAGTGTTGTACTCAGGGTTGTGAAACTAGATGGTGGGAGCTTGTAAGAATTTGGCTCCGTGCCCTCCTAAGGATGCAGTTGCAAAAGTGAGCTAGAGGTGTGTGTGCTTGCTCGGTTTTGGTGCTCAGTTCTTTAGTGCTGTACTTCTGTATGTAGGGAATGGGGTGAGAGATGGTCCTTCAGTGGATTTAGGGTGTGTCACAGCCCCAGCTCTCTACCAAGGGAGAAGGAAGGACTTTGCAGTGATGTGCTGACAGTGATAACGCTGATGCAAAGGTGATAGTTGTTATCTGGGACAAAAATAAGGGATGCTCTGAAATCAACACCTTCCTAAGAGCTGGATTTTACCTAGAACTGTATGTTATCTATTGTACTGCCGTTGTAAAGAGGGTGAGAAAGTAGTTGATTGAGTTTCATAGGTTTTTGTGATGCTACCTCATCTGCTAACTGCTTCCACTTTTTTGTCCAAATGTCTGTGAATTATCTACAAAACCCAGTAATACAAGTCATGTAGAGAGCAAGTTATTTCTGACCCATTGCTGATTGTTAAAGTCATGTGAAATATTCTTTAAGTTATTGGAATTGTTCCTTGAGAAGACAGTAAAAACAAACATGGGCTATAAATGTTGCTATCCTGCTGGGCAGGGGTACAATGGAGTCTTTGTTCTTTCCCAGTACTTAATTGTAAACTGGGTCATGCTGATTTGAAGGTATTGCCTTCTGATTTGAGGAAAGGAAGAAAAAGATGAGCTTTTAAAGGACCTTCAACTGGCTTGTGGACAGTGTATGCTGTTTGCTTATTTATATTTTTCAAATACAGTTAGACTAAAGTAAATATTTTGTCTGTAGTCAAAGTAATTGTTCTTTGGGGTTACCAAAAGGAGTTGGAGATGGTAATTTCCTTTGCACAAATCTTACACTATGCATCTCTTGGGGAAGATGGCTAAATCCAGGAGCTGGATTGCAGCTCAACATTGTGAAGACATGAGAAATCAGATTTCACTTGTGTTTCAAGAATGTTTCAGCAAGTGCTGTGAGCCCAAGGCTCTTTTTCTACTATTATGCTAGTCTCTGGCATACAGCTGACTGTGGTCCCTGGAAAACCATATTTTTCACAAATACACCTTTTATTTCGGTCAGCTGAGTTGTTCCTTGGATCTTAGTTAGGTGTGATGTGCTCTGTTCTTTGGGTTCTTCAGTTCTGCACACTGAGTAGAGCTACAACAGCCAGGTATCCCAGACTTGCTGTGTCAGTATATTTGTAGTTGTTTAACCATTACCTTCACATCCCCTCTGACACAGGACAAGCCACAACAAAATGTATTGTTAAAATACTTACTATATTGCTAGAATACAAATTATTTACTAGGTATAAGGGCAGGTGCATGGTGGTAAAAGCATATTCATCTGAATACTCTGGGGGAGGATAACCTGAAATATTTTTCACTGCTGTCTATCTTGAAGCATGGTTTAAATTAAAGCAGTATTATTATTAAATTATCATTATTATTCACTCAAGCTCTCCCCAGTACTTTATTTAGATTAAAATATTTCCTCCAAGAATTCCTGGGATACATACCTTCTTAACACTGTTAACTTTAACAATAGTTCTAAGGACCTGTTGGTGGTTGTCCCTGCTCCCTGTCACTCTCAATTACATGTGCTCATGACTCTAGGGAATAAGCTAGAAGAGTTCTGTCCAGAAAGCAGAGAGAACTTGTTAATGACTGTCTCAGTGCTTAACTAGCCATGAAAATAAAAGTCAACTTGCTGTAATGCAAACACCCCCTTATGTCACAGCAGGACTCAGTCTGAAGCATATAAGGAAGTTTGAGGCTTTTTCACATCGAACTGTTTTGTCAATTATGCCTTACAGAAGGTTATAAATGAGAATAATGCTTGGGTCTTAAGTCCAGTCAAAACCTAGCAATCAGCAGCAGTAGGGTGATAAAGATTGAGAGAAAATTTACCCTGGGTCAGTTTTTGAAGAAACTTTTAACAGAACAGTAATGGGTGGTGGGCTTGGGTGTTTGGAAGACTGAGTTACTAATTTTTATTTTCATCATGTTGAGATGTAGCCTGCTGCCCTGGTTTAGGGCAAATTTGAGAGAAAACCTCTAAAGGGGTTCCTCTAGAAAGCAGATTCAAGCAGCCTCTCCCCTAACTGGTTTGGGAAAACATTTCATTGGAGAAAAGTGGAAAACCTCCTGTTCATTTAACAAGCCAAGTGTCCACCAGCACAAAAAACAAACAATACTAAATCAAAAAACCTCTTGCTCCTCTGAAGAGATAATAAATTCAGAAAGTCCTCTTTTTGGGCTGCAGCTCAGCTCAGCCAGTCTGTTATCAGTCTCTCTGGCAGTGTCCTGGGCCTGGTGGGCCACAGGTGTGAGTGAGCTCCTGGTGTTTTTCTGGGTTCTTCAGTCCAGAGTATGTTTGAACAGTTCCAAGGAAAAAAAAAAAAACAACACAGTCCAGGGAACTTCACTGCCTCAGCTAGCCAAAAACTAACTAAAAGCACAGGAGAGCCCTCTCTCACTGTCTGTTCTGCAGACAACACAGCCCAGGAGCAGGAATGTCGAGGAGTGAGTGCAGTTTCTGAAAACAAACTCTGTGCTTCTTCTCTCCCCCTCTTTGCTGTCTGAACCAGTCTTAAAGGTGCAAAACTTATTTCTGGGCTAAACAGACAAATGGGGATGCAATTCAGCATCATGAAGTCACCCAGGACACCTGTGTGAAGGAGGCTACACAGTGGCTGAAAGGTCACTGATAAAGCTTTCAGCAAGTAAATGAATGCTTTCAGCTGTTTTTTTCCAATAGACATGTTTGGCTGTGCTATGCTTATTGATCTGTTGTTTGTAAAAATGTGGGTTGAGGGAGGAGGAATAAAATCAAGAAGAGCAGTGATCAAACTGAAGTGTAAGATTGACACAAAGAAATAGATATGACTAAAATTGAAAACTGGAAGAAGCAGAACTGTACTTTATCTCAGGAAGTGGTTTCTAGCACATGTTCAGCTGCTGCCCTGAGTTCCTTGTGGTTGTTACTAGCTGTCCTTTGACTTGCTTCCTATGAGCTGCCCATAAGAAATACATAATTTTCTTGATAAGGAAAGTGCAGTACTTGTATCAAGTGCTAATGCTTCAGGTTAGTTGCTTGATCTACATCTGGATAATAATTAACAGTAAAGATGAAAATTCTCAGGCATCAGTTATTTGAAAGTGCAGCATCAAGTTGCTTGTCATCCTTGACTGACTTGGTTTATTGTGGACTCCCAAGGTTAGAAGTACAGAAGCAAGAGGCAACAAACTAAAAGATGTGGGAGCAGGCCCAGATGGGAATGCTGGTTGAAGGTGCAGTGACCTTTTATAAAGGCCTGCATCATTACTCTTCACAGCATCAGAGAGAAAGTTGTGCCTTTGTGCTGAGAGTGGATGTAGATTCGATATTTTTGCTGAATGTTGTCCTATTGGACAATCTGCCTGTAGGTCCACTCCTGAACAGCAACCATGCATCAACATCCCTACTGGTGGTTTTTATGTCTCTCACTTGTGTGTTAATTATTCAGCAGATCAAAATCAATCAGGCTCTTCTGCGGATTGTAAAAGTTGTCCAGCTGATCTTGTCCTTTAACAGGAAGATTGCTGTCTTTGGCAATGACATAAATTTAGGTATTAAGCACTTTTGTCATAGGCTGTGATGCAGTTGCATCACAATCCAGACTGTCTTAATTATTCTTTACCCCATGTTGCCTGAGGCGGTGACCTCAAAAGCTAAACAAGGTTATGTTTGGCTAGGATGAGAGCAGTCAAACAACTTCAGTGCTACAGGAAGTTTTAGTGATTCAGTAGGTGAGGCAACACCCCTGAGTTAATATTTTTCCAGGGCCCCAGACTGGTAAAAGATGCTGCAGCTTGTATGACAAGATGTAAAACCAAGATCCTTGGTTGAAGTTTCAGTACAATTCCCAGTAAAAATTAACATGTTAATTCAGGATTCCTGCCCAAGTTCAAATTTTAATGGCTCTATCCTCTACACATTTGTAATTTGTTTTAGGGAAGTCATGTGATTCTCTTGCTCCTGCCCTAAACTGTTAAGTTGTTAAGTTAGTGTTCCAGAGGTGCTAACAATGTTTGCAATTGTCAACAGAATGATTTCCAGAAACAATGGTCCATTTTGAGATCTTTTGAAATCAAGGGAATCTTATTTATGTAAGAAATGTCAGGGCAAAACTGAAAAGCCCCCAGGATTTCTTTTTTCTTTTTTTTAAATATATTTGCTACATGGCTGAGTATGCTCACACTTACACATTTTTATTTTTCATAGGATTCAAGTGCCCTGTATGTTCAAAATTTGTATCTTCTGACGAAATGGATTTACATCTTGTGATGTGTTTGACAAAACCAAGGATAACCTACAATGGTAAGAAAGAAGTAAGCTGATAATTATTTATTCATTTTAAACATTGGTGTGATAATAGTCCTTTACTTAATAAGATATTCTGGTAACTAGTTTGGTGGACTCATTAATTAGGTGGTTTTTTTGCTTGTAGTTTGTTTTCTAATTAATTCCTAAGAACTTGGTCTTTGTATGCTGCATGCCAATATAATTTGTCCTGTATCCTGCAAACATAAAATTATTCTTATTTGAATGTGTTTATTCCATTTTTTGACTACTGGTCAGTGTGTGTTTATTGTCCAGTGGAGATGTGTGTAGCTTACACCTCCTTTCATTTAATGACATCAGGTGGTGAGGTGGGTCAAGTGAGTCTCCTGGGGACTTTATTAAGGACTGTTACTTGACATGCTGTGCATTTGCACATTATTCAAGAAAATTACATTTTCTGGGAGGAACTAAAGAACTTTTTCACTTGATTCCATATGTGATACTTCATAAAGACTGGCTATATGTTTTTGTTATTTTAATCAAGCTGGCCAATATTAAATGAATCACCTGTAGTAGCACTGGTTTTTTCCCCTACTACTAAGCTCTCCTTCAAGACAAGCTTTAATGCAAGGCAAACAGGACTTTTGCCACTGAGTTCAAGCCTTTTTATCACTGTGGCTTAGGCTGACACTCAGTTCTACGGCAAGCACAAAAAAAGGCTTGAGGAAACAAGGAATTAAAAAGTCTTAGTGAAATTTTAGTGCCTGCTTTGGCAGAAAATCTTACAGTGCATCTTCAATGAGATTACTGTTCACCAGTCATCAGATGTCAGAATAGAATGCAGTTAGAAAGAAATTGTGGCGAGGAGAGGGAGCTGGGCTTTTTTTGCAGGTGAACAGCAAGAAGCTGAAAGTTGGTGCTCACAAGTTACATCAGGGAAAAATCTGATTCAGTGTTAAGTAGAAATGTGACATAATGAGAGGGGTCAAGGCACTTGAAGAGGTTGTGCAACCTCCATCCTTGAGCAATTTAGTCTAACTTGACCATGCTTTGAGTGAGGGGCTGGACCAGACCACCAGAGGTCCCTTCCAACACAGGTTATTTACTAACTAAATAACCTGCAGTGTCACGGGCTCTTTGACCCTCCAGGTACCTTGCTGTTAGGGTATTCTACACTGGACCATTTTATTGAAACAAATCTTGAAGAATGGTTGGGCCCATCTTATTTTTTGGATACCATAATGCTATCCAAAACTATTGGCTCTTAACTGCAAAAATAATTTGAAATCATATGCTTAGAGTTGCAAAATCCATTTGAAAGCACAGTACTTAGGAAAAGTAAATATTTCTTTTTTCTCCTGGTGTTGCCACAAATGTATTTGAGAAGGTTGACTTCATCTAACAAAGAGTGCTTTTTTTCCTCTTTATTTTTCCTTCTGAAATTCAGGTCTGAGCATTTTCCAAGATAAGGTGTGTACTGAGGGATGTTGGACATTGGAGAGAAGAGAAGCACACTAGTCACCCCAGTCAGGGCAGGAAAATGCACTTGGGATCAGTTAGGGTGGAGCAGGAGGAGGCAGACTGGCAGAGAACAAGCTCTGGCACTAATCCACCTGATGGGGGGTGCACAAATTTGACTGAAATCCTTTTCCCCTGCTGCTTCCTACATGTACATATGAGTGCACTCAGCTGATTGACTTTTGTTTGAAGATATGGTAATTGTATAATGTAACCTCTCAGTATCATTTATGATATTTGTTTGAATCACAGTGGTGATATATTCTTATTCAGACTCCTTTTTCCATCTTGCATTGTTTCAGCTTACACACTGCTGGTTGGAGCCCCTTTGGGCCATTTTGTTACCTTTGCACAGTTTTTTAAGTCAACAGATGAGCAGAAGAAAAACCTGTGAATGGCAGCTGAAGACACTGGATAATCTGCAGCATGACAAAAGTTGTTGTGGGCAATGCAATAGGAGTTAACAGCAGCTTGTCATCTCTTGCCTTAGGAGTGTCTGCTGTACAGTGAGCCTCAGAAACTGATTCTAGGAAATGGTTATGTAAGTGTGAAATAAGCAAACTATCAAATTAGGTAAGCTGCTTTGAGAGAGATACGTAGAAGTATGGTCTCATTTTCATGCACACTTCAGAGAAGTGTGCATTGATCCTTGTGGCTCCAGTTGGTTAGCTCCTGGAGTCAGGGACTAAAGGTGAAATTATAGCCTGTAGCTGGCTATTTAAATTACTGCAGCATGAAGAAATTGAGGATATGGCTTCTGAGTTGTGCAGTGCTCAGTTGTTCCTTTGTGTTATAGTTGTGGTCCCTTTAATGGGGCTAATGAAAAAAATTAACTAGCAGGTTGGTAACTTAATGCTGCCATGATTTCAGGCCCAGACCTGCATATGAATGTCTATATCCATGCATTTTTTCTTGTCTGTTTTGCTGTTTGTCATCATGAGATCAGTGATGAATCGGCCTTTTTACCATAGGCCAAGGGCATCCCAAGTTTTGTTTGAGAGAAGAAAAGATGCTGCTGTCAACTTTTGATACCTGCTTCCAAAATAGAAGGCATCTCTATGCTTTACTTTCTCATTGTTATCTTGGCCTCATGCCATATATACTAGAATAGAGCCAAGCAGGCATCATTTGCTTCTGTTGGTCACTGATATTTCCCAGTCCTATTATCACTAGAAGGGAAAATATCTTTTTTCTTCTCTTCCTTTTTTTTTTCTCCTCACCTTCTTTTAGCTCTTAGTTTTGTGTTGCAAGGAGTTGAAGAGACATTTAGACTTTGCAGGTGCAGAAGTATTTAGAGATTGAGCAGTTGGATTGAACTGTGCTTATGTCTAGTTCTGTTCTAGATGTCTTTCCTCATGGTACTGTAAATGTATTAGTTATTTCTAAGAAACACCAGGGAGCAAATTTGCATGTATTTTGTCATTCTGAGAAGCCAAACCTTTCTTTTTAAATATGAGTCTGAGGCATATAGTCTCCCCCAGAAAAATGTTACAAGACTACTTAGCTGTGATTTGAAGTTTAAATAAATTAATGAGTCCTCCCAGCCAATCTCTAATTGCTTTCTGAGCTACCTTTGTGCATTGCATTTGGCAACTGAAAGGGTCAGTGAACTGCAAACTCAGGCAGCTGTCTGATTTACATGTGTTTTCTGAAAGAGTGGTCACAAAATTGTCTCAGTTCTATGCTGGAAGTTGTGCTGATTTTCATATAAATATATCAGTACATTTTATTAGCCTTATTCTTTCAAAATCATGTGACTTGTCTGTAACAGAGATCCCATTGCTGACTGAATTAGGCATTTTAAAAGAGCTCTTTCTTTTTTTCTGTGGAACTTTGTTCCACATTCCTTAAACTACTTGTGGTGTTCACACATGAACCAATATCCAGGCATTTTTGTACAAAAGCTGGTTAAATTAATGGTATTGTGCAGAAAATATCATGGTGCTTGGTGATGTTGTCTTTAAAAACCTTTCCTAGCAGTTAGCAAATGCTTGCTGAGTTGTTGAGAAGCCCGAGTAGGTCCCATGCACTGGCTAACCACAGGTTGCCAAAAATCAGTTTTTGAAGAAAGTGGGTTACTTGCTAGTTGACAGGTTGTTTTTTTTTTTTTTTTAAAGACTGCTAAAATATTGTGTAGCCATACCTAATCCTTTGAGCTTCTCCAGAGTGTTAAATGAGGCTCCTTGCACCATCTTGTTCAAATTTGTCATGGTGACAAGCAGGGAGCCCTCTTAGGGACTGCTCTGTGAAAGGTTTTGCTTAAATTGTAGCCCCATGTTTTGGTCAGATATGGGCATTTATGTAAATTTCCTCAGTGCTTTGGAAGCAACTTACCTTGAACTCCCTGCTGATGATTACAGGTGCCTGGTAAAGTTTAGATTTAGAATATAATTATTCTGTTGTTGCAATATTAATACAGCTTTTTTCACTGGAAGATGTTCTGTAAAAAATTGAGGAGACACAAGAGAGACTCATGACTTTAGATGCTTTGCAACAAACGTACCCAGTACCTTCTGATGAAACCCTGCGCTTGATTCTGAAATAATTCTGGTTTTCATTTTTAAATTCTTGTGTTGTTTCTCAGCACACTTTGTAAGACTCCATTAGTTTTATTATGACTCGAGGGCCCCTCAGAGGGCAGGGACAGCAGCCTGGCAGCTGGCCAGATGGGGCAGCCAGTGACCCTGCAGGGCTGGGGAGAGCCAGTCAGCTCACTAGGCTGCTTGGCTGGCCTGGCCAGCCGGCCTGTCCTCTTTCAAAAGTTTTGATTGAATTAGCACATTCCTGTGGAATATTTTGAGTTTCATCAAGTCAGCACTTTCTGTTGGAATGGTGTTCTACTGGAAACTTTCTGAGCTGATCTCCTCAAAGCTGCTCGCTCAGGGGTGCTTCTGCTTTGACGTCAGTGCTGCTCTTGCTCAGACTACTCTGCATTTAATTCACATGTGGCAGTGGGTCTGACTGTTGGCCAGCATATTTACTCAGGTTCATTTTAAGGGGAAAAGCTTTCACTCGTGTAATTCAGAGAGGAACAATGTTAAGATATCCAGTGCATGAACTGCTGAAGGTTTTTTCCTTACTTGAAGGAAGGACTTTAATTTTTCTATTTAAGTTACAATAAGTGAATTTTTTAGACCTATCATATTAAAAAACAGCTGGAGATCTGACATCACAGATAGCAGGGATTGCAGATATGATTTTATATTAAGAGTTTATCCAATTTCTTTGAAATGGAGAATTACTAACTATGTGGAAATCTGTTATAGACAGAATATTAAAAATGAAGGTATGTGTACCAGAAGGAAAAATAAGAGTGGAACTCAATGTGCTCTGGCAATGTACTTTGTTTTCTGGGGTGTTTGCATCACCAGGCACAAATAGTGGAAGGTTCCCATGCCATCTAACCAAATTCACAGAATCACAGGATATTCTGAGTTGGAAGGTACACACAGTTGGATCATTGAGTCCAGCTCCTAAGTGCGTGAACCACACAGGGATGGAACCCACAACCTTGGTGT